ACTTGAAAATAATTATTGAGCACCCTCATTAACTGTTCTCTCAAGTCTTTATCAAACTTCTAGCAAAGCAACTGATATCCAAATTATCTTTGAAGCTCTTTAGGGAGGAGAGGGAAGGGAGGGGGAGCTGGGGGCATTATGGAATTCATATAAGCTGCTTCATGTTCCCTGCCGCCTCTCTGCATTTCTGTAAGCACCTCCCCTGTGCCAAGCACCTCCTTTGGGAGAGAGTGTTTCCTAATTGAACCAAGATTCACAGACCCAGGGCCCTCATTAGAAAATGTCCTCAGGAAATGTTCTTGAAATAGATGATGAGGCATGTTCTAGTCTCTTGTTTATACCTCTGTTTGGCCCTTTCACTCTTTCTAGAATTAAAAGAAAAATTTAAAAATCTATAGGAATCTTAAGATATAGTAGTCAATCAATCCATCTCTATATATTCATTCTCTCTGTCCTAAATGCCACATATAGTTGCTTAGTATAATTATGAGCAGATCCTTATACTGGAGAGTGAGGGTTGAAAGTGGGGGTGTGGAATTTAGAAGGAGGAGTAAGTACGTAGATGTTGGCCCTGCCCTCTGGATGCTTTTAGACTGTAAAGGAATATAAATGGCACACAAGGATACCACCAGCTGAAAATCAGTCTCAGCTGACCATCAGGAGGGCCTATAATGCTGACAGGAAGGTGAGAAAGGCTGGAGATGGGGATCAGTAAGGATGGCTTAAGAAAGTCTTCCTAGATGTGGAGGGAAGGTGGTAGAATAGGGCTGAGAGGAGCTAGAAGGTCAAGACTGGACAGGAGGAGTGAGGAGGATGTCCCTGGCAGGATAGGTGACTCACCCAACTCACAGGCTCATCCCAGGAAGGGTACGTCAGGATGTGAGGAGCTGAGTTAGGGATGAAGTGATAGGCCTGAGGGTAGGGGGAGAATTACAGCAGGGCTCTGACAGCTGGTGCGTTTTATTATCCCCTTCATCCTTATCTCTGTTCTCATTCACCCTCCTCACTGGAGATAGTTATTTTAGTGTATTTAACAAACACTTTTCTGGTCCATGTTCTCTATGTGTAGTTAGATATTGTCTTCCTTTCAACAAACACAGTGCCATCTCTGTCAGGCACAGGTGTAGATGGGGGGACTACAGACAGGAGCAAAACAGAAAAAAAAAATCCTTCTTTCATGGATCTTACATGCTTATGGAATGAGACAAATCATGAGCAAATAAATAAGTAAAACATATTGTGCCTTAAATAGTGACAGGTGCTATGGAAAAATGAAGGCTAGAGAGACGAGGTCTGTTGTCTGTGGTTAGGAGCAGATTGTAGTTGTGGGGTGTAGTATGTGGGGTGATTCAGGAAGGCTGTGCTACAGACATGTTATTTCACCAAATGCAGTGAAGGGAGCTGCCAAGTGGATATTTGGGACAGAAGTGGTGCAGTTATAGGAGACAGCAAATACAAAGGCCCTGAGGTAGGGCTTTGTCTGATATATTAGGAGGCTGAATGATTAGGAGGCCAGTGACTACAGAGAAATGAGTGGGACGAGAGAAACAGAAGGCTGAGTAGTCACTGAGTCTGTGACAAATCCTATAGGACTTTGTAGGTCACTGAAAATATAGACCTTGGTTTCTATTCTAAATTAAAAGAGAGACCAATGGAAGGTTTTGAGCACAAGAATAACATGACATTTTAAACAGGTATGCATGTATCCTTGACAAATACGCAGCATTTGGGGGCTGTTTTTAAAATGTACATAGTTGGCATTGTGCTAGACACATCACACTGCTTTCACTTTGGCTACCTAACTTGGTCTCTGAGATCTACCCAAGTTGTTCTCTGTAAAGGTACTTTATCAACTCTGACTGCTGTGTATATTTTATTGTGCACACACGGCACATTTTACTTATGTATTATTCTAGGAACAGAGGCTGGCACAGCTCCCACTTCCTGCCACCACAAACAGTCCTGTGATGAACATGGTCACATGGGCCCCTTATGGACTCAGGAGAGAGTTCCCTGGGGGTGTGCCCCTTGGAGGGAGAGAGATTGTGGGTTGAGAGGGAGTGTGAGTTCTTAATTCCACTGGGATTGTGCTTCAGGATGGTGCCCCCATGACACTCCACCAACAGTGTGTGATGGTTTGTGTCTCCTCACTGAATTCTCATGCTGATCTAGCGACGGTCAGTGAGGTCCCTTGCGGATAAGGAGACAGAGGCTTAGAGAGAGCGAGCAGATTCCCTGAGTTAATGTAGTTACGAGAAAGGGCCAGGGCTCACATGCAGAATTTCTGACATAATGGTCATTGCTCTTACCTCTATAGTAATCAGCACTGCCTCTCCCAGGAATAAGATAAGCCATCCACAGGCAAACAGATTATTATTATTATTGTTACTACAACTACTATTACTACTATTATTGCATTTTTTGATATTTGGTTTAATTCCCTAAGCTTAGGACCCCCATGTGTTTAACACCAGGGGATGATGCTAGAGAAGCAAGCCTATGTCAGATGATGAAGGAAGGAGAGTGCGGAACCACTGAAGGGTTTAGAGCCTGGGGGTGGATGGAGGATGATTCAATCACATTTATAGTGTAGAAAGCTTCTATGAGCTAAGAATTGACTCTCCTTTTCTATCTTAAGTGAATTGGGAAATCATAACACTGGAACTAGTGAGTGGCAAATAAGGAGTCTAGATGGATTTGCAGTCAGAAGGTCTGGCCCATAAGTCAGTTTCCTTTCAACAATGTATAGAGAAGATTTTGTAATTATTTTCTTGGTTTTTTTAATTTAATTTTTGAAATTTAAATTCTACTTAGTTAACATATGTGGTAATATTGATTATTGATTTCAGGAGTATAATTTATGATTCATTACTTATATATAACACCCAGTTCTCACCACAAGTATCCTCCTTAATACCCATTACCCTTTTAGCCCATACCCATCTGCTTCCCTCCATCAGCCCACAGTGTATTCTGTATAAGACTTTTCAATTTTGACTTCATCTTTCTGTCTTTAAAAACTTCTCCAGGGGCACCTGGGTGGCTCAGTGGGTTAAGCTCTGCCTGCGGCTCAGGTCATGATCTCAGGGTCCTGGAATCAAGCCCTGCATCTGGCTCCCTGCTCAGCAGGGAGCCTGCTTCCCCTTCTCTCTCTGCCTGCCTTTCTGCCTACTTGTGATTTCTCTGTCAAATAAATAAATAAAATCTTTTAAAAAAAAAGAAAGAAAGAAAACTTCTGCCAACATCTCCTTTTAAATTCTCTCAAAACCAAAGCCTAGGGCACCTGGGTGGCTCAGTGGGTTAAAGCCTCTGATTAGGCTCAGGTCTGATCCCAGAGTTCTGGGATCAAGCTCCGCATCGGGCTCTCTGCTCGGCTGGGAGCCTGCTTCCCCTCCTCTCTTTCTGCCTGCCTCTCTGCCTACTTGTGATCTCTGTCTGTCAAATAAATAAATAAAAATCTTAAAAAAAAAAAGGAAAGAAAGAAAAACCAAAGCCTGAGCAGGGAGGACAGTGGGGACTGCCTCCCTTTGTTTTCTCTGTATTCTGAACTTCTTTTCCGGGCGTTGCTGTGAATTGTTCATCCAAAGACTTGATCTCCTCCTGGGAAGTAGTCATTTGTATAGCAGCAGGGGAGGAGGGGGAAAGAAAAACCACATCCAGGGTTCATTCATTAAGAATATATATTTGACATAGGCAATGTTTCAAGTGGGTCAAAAATAATTCCTTGTGAAAAATTAATAGGAAGTTAGAAATGTGTGTTTTAATACAAGCTCACAGAGCAAGGCATAACCTCCAAGTCCCTGGCAGCTGACATCACAGATTACACAGGGTGTGTGTGGAGCACTGTGTGGCTGGTGAGGAGACTGACTGCAGAAGTTGCCTCACCTTCTCTCCTGGAACACAGAGAGGCAGGAGAGAGATGGAAATATTTAGGTTATGAGCCACTGAGTTAGGGGACTTATTTCTTTTCTCTCTACCCATCACACATTCATAACTGTGGACATAAAAACTGTAGTGAATCTTTCCTAGTTGCTTTGGGTGAGGTGTGTTGAATGTAGGAATTCACAAAACTAAATTCCTCACTCCTCTCCCTTCTCAGTCATGGACCCTAGATTGGTTGCTGCCCCCATTTCTCCAGTGTTTCCTTCCCAGACAGCCTGGTCCTTTCCTTCTTACAAATGGTTATGAAGGTCCTGCCCCTTTCCCCTTCATCCTCTCTGTTCACTGCACCCCTGTGGGCCTACGTGGTAAAGGGAAGGGGTGGACTGTACATTCTTGGCCATCTGCACAGCTAAATGGATGATGCAGAATGAGGAGAAAGGGACCTAAGTGCCAGCTGACCTTGGCTAGCTGATGTTGGAGCTACAGGTTTATGACTGGGGGGGCCAAATTCATATTTTAATCTCAGATGATATTTTCAAGATGGGTCTATACTTGTGATGAGGCTGACCAGTCCGTGAATTAACCTGTCATGACTCACACTCAAACACTGCTCGCACATCCTATGTGAGAATTACTCTACAATAATTCATGACCTGTTATTTTATGGCTTAATTAGTACATGACACTACATGAGTTAGATGAACCCAATTTGGAATATGTCCTGTGGTGTGTTAAAAAGCAGAATGTTGGGAACCATTGTCCTTTTTCCTGGAGGGAAAGCAATATTGATTTTTCTATTATGTCCTCTATGTTTCTACGATATTTGTATAAGTTTCTATGATATTTGTGCTGCAACAAGTGACATGGGACTTGTGAGCCTTAGTTGGTTGATGGAACACCATTTTCCAGTAAATATTTATTGTTTACTTAGGCATTATGGAGGGATAGCACATAACAGAAAAAAAATATGAAGCAGCAGCTCTGAAGCCTGAGCAACAGAACTCAGCAGCCCCAACTCAACTCAGCTTAACTCAGCCTCATCGAACCTGATCTCAGACTCTCCACTCCTGGGCTTTCTACAGCTCTCTGATCCTAGAGTCCTCTTCATTCCAGCTACAATGCCGTGTCAGGCACTTCGCAGAATTGGTCTAAAGCTGGTACGCAGACGAATGCTGAAGAAAGATGTGAATGAGATGGCCCCTGCCAGAAGATGGACCACTCTGGATTTAGTGACCCTGGGTGTGGGCTGCACAGTGGGAGTAGGTGTGTTTGTCCTGGCTGGGGAGGTGGCTAGAGATGTAGCAGGACCATCCATTGTGGTCTGCTTGTTGGGAGCCAGCCTGTCTTCTGGGTTGGCTGGGCTGTGCTATGCAGAGTTTGGTGTTCAGGTTCCCTATGCTGGCTCTTCATATCTCTACACCTACGTCACTATGGGTGAAATCTGGGCTTTCATCACTGGCTGGAACCTCATTGTCTTCTTTGTTGCTCATACAGCCACTGTGGCTCGGGCTTGGACCTTAGCTTTTGACAATCTGCTTGGGAACCAGATCTCTCAGACCCTGCATGAGAGCATCTCACCAAATGTTCCCCAGCACCTGGGAGAAATTCTAGGCTTCATTGTTGTGGGCCTTATGTTGTTGCTGATGGAATTGCTGACTCTGAGGAATAGGTGGATTTTCCCGGTTTCCAAAGTGGTCACATTGGTGAAACTTTTGGCTCTCAGTTTTGTCATCATCTCAGGCTTCATTAAGGGAGACCTACACAACTGGAAGCTCACAGAAGAGGACTATGTAAAGGCTGGACTCAATGACACCTCTCACTTGGGCCCTCTGGGCTCTGGAGGATTTGTGCCTTTTGGGTTCAGGGGGATTCTCCGTGGAGTAGCTACCTGTTTCTATGCATTTATTGGTTTTAGCATTATTATTACAAGAGTGGAAGAAGCCCAGAATCCTGAGCGTTCCATCCCCATAGGCATTGTGGTTTCACTGCTCATCTGCTTTTTGTTGTATTTTGGTGTCACTGCAGCACTAACACTTATGGTTCCTTACTACCAGCTTCGACCTGGGAGCACATTGCCAGAGATATTTCTCCATATTGGCTGGGCAACTGCCTACTATGCTGTAGCTTTTGTATTCCTCTGTAGTCTTTCTGTCAGTATCTTTGGCTTTATGTTCCCCATACGTAATCTGATATACATGATGGCACAGGATGGCCTCCTGTTCCCTGTCCTTGCCAGAATCCAAACCAGTACATACATGCCCAATGTGTCCACTGTAATCTTGGCCATCATTGTAGGAATCATGGCATTCTTCCTTGGACTCACTGATCTTCTAGATCTCATGTCAGTTGGGGCCCTGCTAGCTTACTCCCTGATGGCTCTTTGTGTTCTCATCCTCAGGTACCAGCCTGAGAGGAGGAATAGGGTAAAAAAAGCAGAGGAGCAGGAAGAGAATGGACAGGCAGCAGAGAAGCTAACACTACAAGAATTGTTTTTTCCACGGAGCCCCACCCCCACTCCACTCTCTGGCTGGGTTGTCATTGTTTGCTCCTCACTACTCATTCTGCTGCTGGCTCTCCTCTGCCTTGTGCTGGCCCACTGGCCAGGTCTGCTTTCTGGAGACCCAGTGCCGATCACAGTGGTTGTGCTGCTCCTGGTGCTCATCACTGGGATCACTGGGGTCATCTGGAGACAGCCACAGAGCTCCACTCCCCTTCCCTTTAAGGTCCCTGCTCTGCCTCTCCTCCCACTCCTGAGCATCTTTGTGAATGTTTATCTTATGATGCAGATGTCAGCTGGCACCTGGGCCCGATTTGGTGTCTGGATGCTGACTGGGTTTACTATCTACTTTGGCTACGGGATCCAGCACAGCTTGGTCCCTTAACCCTACTTTAGTTAGGACCAAAACTGTAGACTCAGCAGTGAACTTAGCAGTGGCAATCTGTATTTGAGTTGACATCATCACACTTGAATGTAGTCTGTTCCCCTGCAATAATAGAGTACTTTTGGGCACATGGAAAGCTTGGCTTCCCATGGGTAGTTGGTGGGAGAACACTAATACGACTCTATTATGAGATGAAGGATGTGTCTTTGCTCTTTCTCCTTTTTTCTGTCTACTTTCCAATTGTGTTTGTACTACACACTAGGTTTTGAAAATTATTAAAAGTTTCCAGAAAAAGTGTTTTTATTTTCTTTCGGTTTATATCCAGTAGGGAAATACTGGGTAATATGGTAGTTTTACTTTTAATTTTCTGAGGAAATTCCATAATGATTTCCATAATGGCAGCATCAATTTGCATTCCCACTGACGGTACCTGAGGTTTCATTTTTCTCTATATTCTCATCAACACTTGCTATTTCTTGCCCTTTTATTTTAGCCATTCTGTTGGGTGTAAAATGATATCTCAGCGTAGTTTTAAGATACATTCCTTGATGAATAATGATGTTGCCCATTTTTCATGTGTCTGTTACCCATCTGGTATGTCTTCTCTGGAAAATGTTTATTCAAGCCTTCAATCCATTTACTGGATTGTTCAGGTTTTCTGGTGTTGACTTGTAGAAGTTCTGTATATACTTTGGATATTAACACCTCTTTAGATATATCAAGTGTCCTGTGGGTAACTTGATTCTGGATAAAAAAAGAAACTTAACAAAATGTGAAAGTGTCTGGGAATGCTCATGGCTGTCTCTTTAACTCATTAATTGAAGTCACAGTGAAGGGGGATGAGAAGAGAGAGGCCGGGAATAGTACACTGCTGAGTGGTGCTCAAACTTCAGCAGGTGCCACCTCATCCATAGGGTTTGTTAAAACAGATCACTGGGCCCCACCCCAGCCTTTGAAATTCAGTGGGTCAGGGTGGTGCCAATACTTTAGTTCTAACAAGTTCACAGGTAGGGCTGATACCCCTGGTGCAGGGAACACAACTGAAAACGAAAGCTCCACCTGAAGGCCCTGATGATGCAAAGATTAAGTGAGGGAAACAAAGGTGCGCTTTGAACATTGACTTTCATTTAATGAGATATTTAGATTAAAATACCATCCATTAATCCTCTCCCGGTGGGGATATCAGAGTGAATCATTTCACAATGTATATGTATACAAAATCACCACAGTGTACTCATTAAGTAATTTATAATTTTCTATGTCAATTATACCTCAATAAAGCTGAAAATTTAAATGTGAAATACCAAAGCTATCTGCGTGTCTTTATTTTCTTTATGATTGTAAATCATAGGTAAGGAGTATATCTTTTTTTTTTAAGATTGTATTTATTTATTTGACAGTGAGAGATCACAAGTAGGCAGAGAGGCAGGCAGAGAGAAAGGGGGAAGCAGGCTCCCCACTGAGCAAAGAGTATCAGTACCCTGAGATCATGACCTGAGCCAAAGGACAGAGGCCTAACCCACCGAGCCACCCAAGTGCCCCAGGAATGTATCTTGTTTACTGCTGAGAGCATCCAGCTGGGAGCTGGGCACATAATGAGCATTTAATAAATTCATGTTAAAGTGAATTGAACCTTACACATTTCTTTGATGCAGAAAATTCTCCTTTTAGGCTAGTGTTATGTTATTCCTTTAAGACTATCCTCTGGAGGACTTCCTTGACAAACAGCATTTCTCTCCTTTCAGAACTAAATCTAGAAGTGCCTCTAGACCTGTACTAAGCTATTACAAGTTTTGCCTTTGTGTGGCTATGCCTGAATTCTGGTGACTATCCTGTCTCTTCCATCAGAATGGAGTCTTACTCCAAGCAAGGAGTAGGTTCTTTCCTTCCTCTCAACCCAACATTAAGAACAGTGTTGTTCATTCAAAGAGCAACAGGAAAAATGCAGACCTGGAACAGGAAAATACCCAACATGACCTCCGTTGGTCCTGCTCCATCTCTTTCCATGGAATATGGGAAGGGGCCAGAAGTAGTGAAATTGATGAAAGGCCGAACCTGCTCTCTCTGACCCCAGGGAATTCCTGAAGATGAGACTGGCTCCAGTGTGGGCACAACAGGCATCTTTTTTGATGCAGTCAATGGCTGGAACAGAAGGGCCAGTGTTTTTCTGTTGCATTTATGTATGGGACCTGCCCTGGGATAGAGGGCTAGGAAGCTACTTTTTTACTCACAGCATTTCTTATTTTCCCCACGCAGAGTAGGTGACTCCAGGGAAGCCTGGTGGAGGCAGGACCTCTCATATATTTACACACTCCTTTGGATGTTCCTTTGGTGCAAAAACCTTGTGAGAGCATCTAAGATATCTTGGTAAAGAAAGAATGCATACCCCAAATGTGGAGGGAAATGGACTGACATAGGAGGAATTAGTAATTGGATAGGAGTTAAGGCATCATTCCTTTGGAAGAAAAGGTATGAGTAGAAACGGAGAAAGAGGTATAAGTCTAGGGACACTTCCTGGAGGAAGACACTTATGGAGAAATTTGGGAAATAAAAAAGAGAAAGCTGAGCTGGAAGAGAAATGGGGCAGTCATTCTAGGCACATGGACCTTTAAGAGTCATGAAAGAATGAGACTCTTGTGAGGGATTTTTTCCCCCACATTGCAAGGGAATATGAGCCAGGTTTATATTGTGTATTGTGTCGTGGAGTGAGATTCCTGAATCAGGAAGGAATGAGATAATTCTCATTGCCATCTGGAGGATAGACAGCAGAAGGATGTGGACAGATAGACTCTTCCTGCGAGACAGTTGTAGCACCCGCTGTATGATCTAGATCCTTGTTCTAGTAGCATGGGTGTCACTTGGGAGCTTGCAGAAATGCAAAGTCTTAGACCCCAACCCAGACCTACAGAATCAGAATCTGCATTTTAGCAGGCTTCCAAGTAATTTGTATGTTCTTTCAGGTTTGAGAAGCATCGGCCTGAGGTGATCAGTGATAGGTGTCTGGTTTCAGAGGGACACTACAAAAGGTCTGAAAACTTTGGAACTGGGAGTACAAGAGGATGAGCCTAGGCTGGGGGACTTGAATTTGGGGAAGAGGGAGAGTGTAGTCATTGGCTTCCCTTTGTCTCCAGGCCTCCCACACTGGTCACTATGGCAGGTTTTGGCACTCTGCCCACGTTGGGACAATGCCTGTTGTGCCCTCCCAGGAATCTACTTGGTCTTCAGGTGCTCCCCTGGCACAAGAATTGCATACGTAGGGACTGCTGCCCATTCTTGTACCTCTTCTTCATATGATGGCCGTAAAGGGACTGGGGAGGTCATCTTAATCATGTCCTGACTCAGGGTTGTACTGTCCCTTAATCAAATGAGTGATAATATGATGACACTAATCAAGGAGGCTCTGGAGGTTGGGGGGATTGAAATGGGATTTCTTAAGTATCTGTCCTGGAAATTAGAATACTTTCATCTTTTGAAAACTGTATAAAGACACCAGACGACTACATGAGCGGTTATACCCTGACAGGGCCCAAAATTAATGCTTTTGAAGAGATCTTTTGATGATTCTTAATGGGTTAATAACAAACTATATGAGACCTGTAATTCCAGAGACCTGATGATAGGCAATGGAACAATGTTACCAGGTGGGCATTTAGGAGTTTTCTTACACTTTTGAGGGTTGATGTACCTCATCCCAAATCAGAATGAGTGATGAAGATCCTTGCTCTAGTAGCATGGATTGAAGGAAATATCGAAGGAAAACAGACTGAGTTGAACATAAGGAAAAATATTCTGATATTAAAAAGGTGATGGGGGATATGGCTGTCTCGCTTGGATGTGTTATGCTTCAAATGGGCTCCTGCCCAGAACCAGCGAAATGGATAAAATGAACTTTCAAAATTGTTGCCCCAAGAAATCTCCAGTCAACTTGTTAAGTGAAAGATTGAGGTGACTGTGTGGTGTAGATAAGGTGGTGAGGCATGGGGATGATGAATGACAAAAGAAAAAAACATTTGAGCATTGAAATCTGCTAAAAATTATAATCAGGAGAGGAGGAGTCAAGATGGCAGAGAAGTAGCAGGGTGAGACAACATCAGGTAGCAGATCAGCTAGATAGCTTACCAAACCATTCCGAACACCTACAAATCCAATAGGAGATCAAAGAGAAGAAGAGCAACAATTCTAGAAACAGAAAATTGACCACTTTCTGAAAGGTAGGACCGGCAGAAAAGAAATCTAAAGCGATGGGAAGATAGACCGCAGTGGGAGGGCCAGGCACCCAGCAAGCGGTGGAGCAATGGAGCACAAAATCAGGATTTTTAAAAGTCTGCTCAAAAAAAAAAAAAAAAGTCTGCTCCACAGAGGGACATCACTCCGGAGGCTAAACCGGGGTGAAGCCCATGCGGGGACAGCGTTGCCTCAGGTCCCACGGGGTCACAGAAGAATCGGGGCGTCTGAGTGTCACAGAGTTCACAGGTATTAGAGCAGGGAAACCAGCTACAGAGATGGAGACGAGGAGTGAGCTCTCAACTCAGGGCTACCTTGAACCGTAATCCGTGGCACAGGCCACTGCTCTGAGAGTGGGGTCCCCACAAGATCTGGGGAAACCCCCCCTGGAAGAGCTCAGGGATCTGCGGGGTTTAGAGACTCCAGGTGGAGCTGTGTGCCAGAGATAGAGACGCTTGGTCACAGGCTGGGTGAGCTCAGAGCGCAGCCGGAGGCCAGGGAGATGGGAATGATTGAGCACTTTTCTCTGAGGGTGCACTGAGGAGTGGGGCCCTGAGCTCTTGGCTCCTCCTGGCCAGAGATTGGGAGGCTGCCACTTTCAATCCTATCCTCAGGAACTCTACGGAAAGCGTTCAGGGAACAAAAGCTCCCAAAAGTGAACCCGGGCAAATTACTTAGCCTGGCCCCTGGTAAGGGTGGTGCAATTCTGCCGCAGACAAAATCACTTGAGTATCACTACAACAGGCCCCTCCCCCAGAAGATCAATAAGAAATCCGGCCAAGAACAAGTTCACTTATCAAGGAGAACAGCAGAATTCCAGAGGAGGAGAAAGCAAAGCATGGAATTCATGGCTTTCTCCCCATGATTCTTTAGTCTTGCAAAGTTAATTACTTTTTTTAATTTAATTTTTTTCTTCTACTAAATGTTTTTAACTTTTACTCTTTGCTCTTTTAATGTTTTTAACTAGTTTAACAATACCTTTCATTAAAAAAATAATATTTTTTGAAACTTCATTATTATAGTCATATTTTATCCTTCATTGTATCTAACTTTATTTTTTGTATACACATAGGGTTTTTTCTTCTAAAAAATTTGGGATACAACTTCTTCTATTAGATCAAAATATACCCTAAATCTAACACAGGGATCATTCTAGTCTCCAGGCTAAGCAAATTCTCTCCACCTTCTTTTTCTTTATTCTCCCAACCAACTTACCTTATCAACTCTTTTTTTAGAAATTAAAAAAAAATTTTTTTTCATCTCTATGGTTATATTTCATCCCTTCATTGTGTTTACCCTTATATACGTTTTTCTTTCTTTAAAATTTGGGAGGTAGTTTCTTCTAAGAGACCAAAATACTCCCAAAAGTAGTGGGTGACCCTGTTCTAGTCACTGGTCTAATAAATATATATATTTTCTTTTTTATATTTTTCTTTGTTTGTCTTCTTTTTTAAATTTGTTTTTCTGAACTTCTTCTACCCCTTTTCTCACCCTCACGATTTGGGGTCTCTTCTGATTTGGTGAAAGCACATTTTCCTGGGGTATTTGCCACCATTGTAGTATTTTATTTTCTCCTTCATATATTCTTATCTGGACAAAATGACAAGGCAGAAAAACTCACCACAAAAAAAAAAAAAAAAAAAAAAAAAAAAAGAACAAGAGGCAGTACTGAAGGCTATGGACCTAATCAATATGGACATGGGTAATATGTCAGATCTAGAGTTCAGAATGACGATTCTCAAGGTTCTAGCTGGGCTTGAAAAAGGCATGGAAGATATTAAAGAAACCCTCTCTGGAGAAATAAAAGTCCTTTCTGGAGAAATAAAAGAACTAAAATTTAGCCAATTTGAAATAAAAAAAAAAGTTATTAATGAGGTGCAGTAAAAAATTGGAGGCTCTTACTGCTAGGATAAATGAGGCAGAAGAAAGAATTAGTGATACAGAAGACCAAATAACAGAGAATAAAGAACCTGAGCAAAAGAGAGACAAACAACTACTGGACCACGATGGGAGAACTTGAGAGATAAGTGATACCATAATATGAAACAACATTAGAATAATTGGGATTACAGAAGAAGAAGAAAGAGAGAGGGGATCAGAAGGTATATTGGAGAGAATTATTGGAGAGAATTTCCCTAATATGGCAAAGGGAACAAGCATCAAAATCCAGGAGGTTCAGAGAACCCCTCTCAAAATCAATAAGAATAGGTCCACACCCCATCATCTAATAGTAAAATTTACAAGTCTTAGCAACAAAGAGAAAATTCTGAAAGCAGTCTGGGACAAGAAGTCTGTAACATACAATGGTAAAAATATTAGTTTGGCAGCAGACCTCCACAGAGACCTGGCAGGCCTGAAAGAACTGGCATGATATATTCAGAGCACTAAAGGAGAAAAACATGCAGCCAAGAATACTATACCCAGCTAGGCTATCATTGAAATAGAAAGGGACATAAAAAGCTTCCAGGACAAACAAAAACTGAAAGAATTTGCAAACACCAAACCAGCTCTAATGGAAATATTGAAAGAGGTCCTCTAAGCAAAGAGAGAGCCTAAAAGTTGTAGACCAGAAAGGAACAGAGACAATATACAGTAACAGCCACCTCACAAGCAATACAATGGCACTAAATTCATATTTTTCAATAGTTACCCTGAATGTAAATGGGCTAAATGCCCCAATCAAAAGACACAGGGTATCAGAATGGATAAAAAAACAAAACCCATCAATATGCTGCCTACAAGAAACTCATTTTAGACCCGAAGACACCTCCAGATTTAAAGTGAGGGGGTGGAAAACAAGACACCATGCTAATAGACATCAGAAGAAAGCTGGGGTGGCAATCCTTATATAAGATCAATTATATTTTAAGCCAAGGACAATAATAGGAGATTAGGAAGGACACTATATCATACTCAAAGGGTCTGTCCAAAAAAGAAGATCTAACAATTTTAAATATCTATGCCTCTAATGTGGGAGCAGCCAACTATATAAACCAGTTAATAACAAAATCAAAGAAACACATAGACAAGAATACAATAATGGTAGGGGACTTTAACACTCCCATTGCTAAAATGGACAGATCATCCAAGAAAAAGATCATTGAGGAAATAAAGGCCTAAAATGACACACTGGACCAGATGGACATCACAGATATGTTGAGAACATTCCATCCCAAAGCAATAGAATACACATTCTTCTCTAGTGCACATGAAACATTCTCCAGAATAGATCACATCCTGGGTCATAAGTCAGGTCTCAACTGATATCAAAAGATTGGGATCATCCCCTGCATATTTTCAGACCATAATGTTCTGAAGCTAGAACTCAATCACAAGAGGAAATTTGGAAAGAACACAAATACATGGAGACTGAACAGCATCCTTCTAAAGAATGAATGGACCAGCCAGGAAATTAAAGAAGAATTGAAAAAATTCATGTAAACAAATTATAATGAAAACACAGCGGTTCAAAATCTGTGGGACACAGCAAAGGCATTCCTAAGAGGAAAATATAGAGTGATACAAGCCTTTCTCAAGAAAGAAGAAAGGTCTCAAATACACAACCTAACCTTACACCTAAAGGAGCTAGAGAAAGACCAAAGAAAGCCTAAACCCAGAGGGAGAAGAGAAATCATAAAGATCAGAGCAGAAATCAATGAAATAGAAACCAAAAAAACAATAGAACAAATCAACGAAACTAGGAGCTGGTTCTTTGAAAGAATTAAGATTGATAACCCCCTGGCCAGACTGATCAAAAAGAAAAGAGAAAGGACCCAAATAAATAAATTCATGAATGAAAGAGGAAAGATCACAACCGACACCTAAGAAATACAAACAATTATAAGAACATATTATGAGCAACTCTACGCCAACAAATTTGACAATCTGGAAGAAATGGATGCATTCCTAGAAACATATAAACTACCACAACTGAATCAGGAAGAAATAGAAAACCTGAACATACCCAAACCAGTAAGAAGTTTGAGGCAGTCATCAAAAATCTCCCAACAAACAAAAGCCCAGGGCCCAATGGCTTTCCAGGGGAATTCTACCAAGCATTTAAAGAAGAATTAATTCCTATTCTCCTGAAACTGTTCCAAAAAATAGAAATGGAAGGAAAACTTCCAAACACATTTTACGAGGCCAGCATCACCTTGATCCCAAAACCAGACAAGGTTCCCATCAAAAAAGGGAATTATAGACCAATATCCTTGATGAACACAGATGCGAAAATTCTCACCAAAATACTAGCCAATAGGATCCCACAGTACATTGAAAGGATTATTCATCACGACCAAGTGGGATTTATTCCAGGGCTACAAGGTTTGTTCAATACCCATAAATCAATCAATGTGATACGACACATTAATAAAAGAAAGAACAATAAAAGAAAGAAAAGAATAAAAGAAAGAACCATATGATACTTTCAGTAGATGCTGAAAAAGCATTTGACAAAATACAGCATCCCTTCCTGATTAAAACTCTTCAAAGTGTAGAGATAAAGGGCACATACCTCAATATTATCAAAGCCATCTATGAAAAACCCACTGCAAATATCATTCTCAATGGAGAAAAACAGAAAGCTTTTCCACTAAGGTCAGGAACACAGCAGGGTTGTCCATTATCACCACTGCTATTCAACATAGTACTAGAAGTCCTAGCCTCAACAATCAGACAACAAAAAGAAATTAAAGGCATCCAAATCGGCAAAGAAGAAGTCAAACCATCACTCTTTGCAGATGATATGATACTATATGTGGAAAACCCAAAAGGCTCCACTCCAAATCTGCTAGAACTTGTACAGGAATTCAGTAAAGTGTCCGGATAGAAAATCAATGTGCAGAAATCAGTTGCATTTCTTTACACCAACAACAAGACAGAAGAAAGAGAAATCAAGGAGTCAACCCCATTTACAGTTGAACTCAAAACCATAAGATACCTAGGAATAAACCTAACCAAAGAGGCAAAGAATCTATACTCAGAAAACTATAAAGTACTCATGAAAGAAATTGAGGAAGACACAAAGAAATGGAAAAATGTTCCATGCTCCTGGATTGGAACAACAAATATTGTGAAAATGTCTATGCTACCTAAAACAATCTACACATTTAATGCAATCCCTATTAAAATCCCATCCATTTTTTTCAAAGAAATGGAACAAAGAATCCTAAAATTTATATGGAACCAGAAAAGACCTCAAATAGCCAACGGAATATTGAAAAAGAAAGCTAAAGTTGGTGGCATCACAATTCCGAACTTCAAGCTCTATTACAAAGCTGTCATCATCAAGACAGCATGGTACTGGCACAAAACCAGACACAGAGATCAACGGAACAGAATAGAAAGCCCAGAAACAGACCCTCAACTCTATGGTCAACTAATCTTCGACAAAGCAGGAAAGAATGTCCGATGGAAAAAAGAGAGCCTCTTCAATAAATGGTGTTGGGAAAATTGGACAGCCACATGCAGAAAAATGAAATTGGATCATTTCCTTACACCACACATGAAAATAGACTCAAAATGGATGAAGGACCTCAATGTGAGAAAGGAATCCATCAAAATCCTTGAGGAGAACACAGGCAGCAACCTCTGAGACCTCAGCCGCAGCAACTTCTTCCTAGGAACAGCAACAAAGGCAAGGGAAGCAAGGGCAAAAATGAACTATTGGGACTTCATCAAGATCAAAAGCTTTTTCACAGCAAAGGAAACAGTTAACAAAACCAAAAGACAACTGACAGAACGGGAGAAGATATTTGCAGACGATATATCAGATAAAGGGCTAGTGTCCAAAATCTATAAAGACCTTAACAAACTCAACACCCAAAGAACAAATAATCCAATCAAGAAATGGGCAGAGGACATGAACAGACATTTCTGGAAAGAAGACATCCAGATGGCCAGAAGACACATGAAAAAGTGCTCCACATCACTCAGCATCAGGGAAATACAAATCAAAACCACAATAAGATACCACCTCACACCAGTCAGAATGGCTAAAATGAACAAGTCAGGAAATGACAGATGCTGGCGAGGATGCGGAGAAAAGGGAACCCTCCTACACTGTTGGTGGGAATGCAAGCTGGTGCAGCCACTCTGGGTAACAACATGGAGGTTCCTCAAAAAGTTGAAAATAGAGCTACCCTATGACACGGCAATTGCACTACTGGGTATTTACCCTAAAGATACAAACGTAGTGATCTGAAGGGGCACGTGCACCCGAATGTTTATAGCAGCAGTATCCACAATAGCCAAACTATGGAAAGAACCTAGATGTCCATCAACAGATGAATGGATAAAGAAGTTGTGGTATATTTATACAATGGAATACTATGCAGCCATCAAAAGAAATGAAATCTTGCCATTTGCGATGACGTGTATGGAACTAGAGGGTATTATGCTTAGCGAAATAAGTCAATCAGAGAAAGACAACTATCATATGATCTCCCTGATATGAGGAAGTAGAGATGCAACGTGGGGGGTTTGGGGCGTAGGAAAAGAATAAATGAAACAAGATGGGATCCGGAGGGAAAAAACCATAAGAGACTCTTTGTTTTTTCTTTTTTTTTCTTTCTTTTTTTTCGTAAGAGCCTCTTAATGTCACAAAACAAAGTGAGGGTGCCCAAGGGGAGGGTGATGGGGTTATGGACATTGGGGAGGGTGTGTGATATGGTGAGTGCTGTGAAGTGAAGTGTGTAAACCTGGCGATTCACAGACCTGTGCCCCTGGGGCTAATAATTCATTATATGTTTATAAAAAAATAAAAAAAATAAAAAAAAACTGTAATTAAGTCTCAGGTTTAGGAGAATAACTTGTATGTTAGGGCTCAAATAAGAGTTTTAGGTTTTCGGGTTCTTCCTGTCTCCTTGTATATATATTATCTCATTGATGAGATTGAAAAACCTCCAAGGGAATAGAACATCTCTTTTATGTATTATTTCTTTATATCTCCAATGCCTACTGAGTGATGAAAATAATAGCTACTATTTACTGAATTCTCCGCCCTATGCTTTGTACCAAGCACTTTACAAGATCACATATTTAATACAAAAGTTGTAGGGGTTGAGTATTGTTATATTCACTTTACAAAGCTGACTAAGGAGGTAAAAAATGAAACAAGATGGGTTGGGAGGAATACAAACCATAAGAGACTCTTAATCTCACAAAGCAAACTAAGGGTTGCTGGGGGATGGAGGAGATAGGGATAGGGTGGCTGGCTTATGGACACTGGGGAGGGTATGTGCTATGGTGAGTGCTGTGAAATGTGTACCCCTGATAATTCACAGACCTGTACCCCTGGGGGCAAATAATACATTATATGTTAATAAAAAAAGAAAAGCTGTAACTAAGGCTCAGAGAGGTGCAAAATGCAATGAAGTAATTTGTGCAAACTGAGTACTGAAGTTAAGACTTGTACCAACTTTGAGCAAAGTTCATGCTGGTAACCCCTCCTTAAGCTATACTCTGCACAGAGCAGGCACTCAGTGAGGGATAGATGATCATTGAAACTTGATGGGATAGAGGTAATAGGAAGATAATGGATAATTACAAATAGTGAATAATGAATAAACAATTTCTATTTGTTTGTGCCCTGTGGTCAGAATTACACTTAGTGACACACACAAGCTTATACTCAGACATTCTCTCACCGTCACTGTGCCCCACCCTGCCGATAGGAGCTTGGAAAGGGGAAAGGCTGGGTATATTATATTGATAAAGCACCTCGTTCAAAGATGTATGTGTGTGCTAGATATATGGACATATGTCATTGAATTTGAGTGGAAATAAACACCAAGGAATGGGGTATACTTCCTCTATAAATATGACCATTGTTGTTAGGTATGATGTGTGTGCCTCTATGTGTGTGTGTGCCTCTGTTTCTGTGTGTGTGCACAAATCCTGAAGGAGTTCAACAAGCTGTAATGAACTAACTGCCTTCCTTCCTCTGCCCTCGTTTGTGTGTTTGTACCAAATCCTGATATTAACTTTTCATCTACTTTCAAGGGAACATCCATGAGTTTTCTTTCTGGGAAATTCATGGCTAAGATGTTGGGATGCTTTGGAGCCCTATAAATCTGTTATAGTCAGGAGAGGTTACAGAGAAAGAGCACAGCAACCAGAAGAAACTGCCTCTTGACTTTTCTTTCTAGCCTAATACACAGTCATCCTTGTATGTATACCACCCATGTAACCACCTCCCCTCTCCTAGAACCCCTTCATGGAAGGTACTAAAAGAAGCTATTTTATTTACATCTTTGCTTAAATGGGACTTTCTATTTGAGCCATCCCAGAAAGTGGAGAATTAAAAATTATATTAACTCAGGAATGTAGAGTTGAGATTGTGAGAAATAGGGGACTTGCGAAATGAACTTCATAGAAAACAATGAGCTTTGACAGAAGTAAGGCTGTAAGAGGAGTTGAATGTCTCTGTTTCCTTATTTAGAGCACCTGAATCAAAGCTCCTGGAAATAGGACACAGGACACCCTGCACGTGGCTTGAAGGCAGACACAGCCCAGGAACCCCTTCTTCCACCTTCTAATGCCAGCACTTGGGAGACTGTTTTATGAGGGATTTTTATGACAAACTTTGCATCTGACCTTTAATAGCATCTCTTGTCCAGTGAAGGAGGAAATGCAGGTATTTATTGACATATAGTGTCTAAAGATCAAGGAAAATTGACTATGGAGATGGAAGGAGGAGGGGTTTCTCTCTTTCCTTCAGGTACGCAAATTATCCAAATTAAGTGGTGTGGTATATTCTTTGTGCTTTTCTTAGTAATGAGATTAAGAAATCCGCTCATTGTCAATAAGGAACTCAGGGGAGGGAGAGAAGAAATGAGAGACCTATAGATGGAGGCATAATGGGTAACTGCTCCATTTGAATAGTGCAGACCTTAATAGGATCAGGTACAAGAGAAGGGGGCAATAAATGGACCCTGGGACTCAGGTCCTGACCCTTATTTACCTATAGAAAGCTTCTGGCTTCTGCGGTAATACCTTGAATTTCACTGGCCCTTGTATTTCACTCTCATGATGATCAGAAGGTCAGCGTCAAATAATGCCGTAAGTCAAGAAATCCTTCCCAGTAACTATGTCTTTTCCTTGGAATTCCATACTCCCAATCTCTGACTACTGAAATCCTACACAATCATCACAGTCCAAGTTTAAATTTACTTCTTGCGTACACCTTCCTGGATAACTCACATCAGAAGCAATTTATTTCCTTCAACCACCTTTACTCCTCTGTGTCAAACTACCATAGTTATCTCTCCACACACTGTCTTCTGTTGTAGTTACCCTGTATCTTCCTTGTCCCTTACTCAACTCTAAGCTTTTGGAGTGGAGAGACTGTGCCCTGTATATTTTTACATTCTCTCCACTGGGCCCAACACAGAACCTAAAAATGGTTAAATAAGTTTCATGCAAGGTATATAGTTGCAAGGAGAGAGGCCATGTGCAGAGATGTAGAAGTAACTGCATTATGAATGTTGATTAAGGATATTATTGTTAATATAGTTCAGGTCATGATACTTTCAGGTATAGATCATACTATCAGGAAATTTTTACCCAACCAGTAGATTGGTTCCTTCTTTGGTCCTACTTCCAACCTCCCTGTTGCCTTGGGAAGTGGGTAAGTCAGGGCTCTCCCCTTTTCTCAGGATGGACCCTGCCCCCTCTTCTCCAGCTGAGGATTTACAAAGCAGAGTTAAGAACTTTGATCTTGCTACAGACTTGGAGACAGATGAAGATAGTGGCCTCTGAAATAACGGCCCAGGATGTGAAGAGATGGAGACAGAAGTACACAATGAGAGAGGCAAATCGCTGTCACAGAGACTTCCTCTCACCTCCCACCTCAGTCTCAGTGAGTTCTGGGCTCTGCTCTCTTTGGGTCAGGGTTTTTGGGCTTCAGGGAGGGGGGAGATATCCCCTGAGTGACTTTAGAGGCCCCCACCCTCTGACCCCAGTCATCCCTGGATCCCTGCTCCAAGGCTGAAGACAGCCCAGGCTATGAGGGGCAAGCTGTCTGCCAGTATCCCAGCAGCCTCAGCTAACTAGTTCATTACTAGGGTCTTCCTTTGACCACTTTCCCGCCCCCCTCCTACGGAACAAGTTGGTAGTATTAGTCTCTGTCTCTTGTACATCAGGGGTCACATTAGAAAAGGCCTGGGAGTGGGTAAGAAGAATCTGACACTGGTACCTGGAACTTTTACACCTGTTCACCCTTTCCCAACACTGCTTCCTCCTGGGACATATTTTAGTCAGTAGTTCAAGCCTAATGGTTCCCCTTCTCAGGAAGACCTTGACCTTGGTAGAGTTGGGGATATTGTTCTATACATTTTACTCCATCTCCTCATGCTCCTTCAGTCTTTTGGTGCTCTCCTGGCAACGGGTCCCTCCCTCCCTCCCTCCAGGGGAGCCCAGTACCAGCGCCCAGGGCCCAGGGCTTGCTCTGCAGGGAGCGCTGTTCTCTGCCGCCGTCTTGTGGCCGCCGAGAGCTTAGCAAGCCTCTGCTGAGAAGATTCCCCTCATATCCTCGCCCCCTGGTGGAAATTGCGTGTACCACAAGAAGCATTCTGTGGTCCTCCAACTTCATCTTTCCCCCCAAATCCCCTTTCTGGAGGCACTCAGGACCTCCTTAAGGCTAGGAAAGTCTTCCTGAGATTTCATCACCTTTCCCATTGTCTGAGGTTTTAGTTCTGCTTTTGGGGATGTGCGGTGTAGACAAACGGCTGAGATAAAGATACTGAGCAGAGAGAGCAATTTCTCTTCCTCTTGGTCTCCATCTACGACCTCAGCTCCCAGGGTTGGGGAGTTTTCAAAGAAAGCGGCAGGGGTATGACATCCTGGAGAGAATGGGTCTAGAGCAGACCGGGATTATGAGTCTAGGCTTCTGTGAATTTGTACCTGAGCTCAGTCCATCAGCCTCAGAGGAGACAGATTGGCTGGAGCCAGGCAGGAGGAGGCACGGATGCTGGAGGGAGATGGCCTATGAGACAGATGCTGGCAGGACTCCTTATCTCCAGCTCTGGAGTCCCCTGTTTCAGGATCTCTGCTACAGCATACAGTGAAGCTCTGGGCATACTCACCAGAGGCACATTTTTATACTTTAGGGTGGATCTAATTTTAGAAAATTGTCAAGGTTTCTCTGAGGCTGGTGAAAAAGTTGAGGACCCAGGTGGGAAGGGGCCCTGGCTAGGGGAGCTCCCTGACAGCTGGGAAGAGGAAGCTGATGGCGGGACAGAGAGACACAGTGCTCTGGGCACTCCCTCAGCAAAAGTGTGTGAGCCAAGTTGCTCAAGGACAACTGGACCAGACGCCATGACTTGAATGATGAGAGACTGACAATGACCACAGGAGGAAAGACGGAGGAAGATACAGAATTCTGGAAGGTTTTTGAGGAGACAAGAATATTGATACTCAGTTAGCAAGGAGCAGGAACATGGAGAGGAGAGGATCAGAGAAGTCAGATCTCTCAGAAAGTGCCTGACTTTGAGGGAGGGAGTGTGAACCCTGGAGGCAGATGAGGAGGGAATGTATAGGGGTGTGTGTGTGTGTGTGTGTGTGTGTGTGTGTGCGCTTCTTGTTCTAGCATTTACCAGCCATAGCTCAAAGGATATCCTTTCCAAAATGTATCCTGAATTGTTTTTGCTATAAATAAGCCCATCCTTCTAATGGTGGCATCTGAAGCCCCGAGTCTGGTGCCATGTGTTTCATAAAAGATGTGTGTCCATAGGGGACAAGGAGAGTAACTTGCAGAACTTGAAGAAGAAACGCAGTTACCAACTCCTGGATTTAATTACATGAAAGCCCTGGACATTCTGAACTTTATTACACTTCTCTGTGCCCGTGGGAGTGGGATGAACCTGGGTGGTTTTGTCCCAGTTCTTCTCTTCAGAACTTCTCTGGAAGGTTCCCTCTACACCTCCCTCCTGCTGCTACAGAGACTCCTTGGGCTCTAGGTGTCACCAGACATCTGGCCTCTGGGACCTTAAAATACTGCTGCAGGGAAGCAGGTGGGTGAACAATCCCTTTCAGATTGCTTGAGTTAATGTTCTTAGGGTCTCCCCTGCCCTGAGAGGAGCTGGGGTAACTGGGCTTTGCAGAATAGCAGGAAAGCCTGGGGGGAAAGGCAGTTTCCAGCTTCACATGCTAAGCCTTAGGTCTTCATACTTGGCTGATTTCTCCATCACTGGTCCCTTAAAACCTAGACTTAAGCATGTACACTGATCTCAAGGTTACTATTCTTTGCCTCAGTTTATCCTTTTGTGGGCTTCATATGTGCATTTGAGGGGGCCCTTGAGTGAGGAGCTGCTTGTAGTCATGGATGATGACTGCTCAGAAGGCGGTCTACACCATTGACCCCAAATTAATGGGCAGTCACTAGTAAGTTGTTTTGATCATATTGCGTGTGGTCCTTCTCCAGCTCTCCATGCAGACCCAGTCCCAGACCTCCACCTCTCCTCCCTCTCCTCCATGGGATCACTAACCAGACTGTCCCAGCACCTTCTCCAGAGCTTGTCAGCCTCCCTTGCCTGCCTGCCTCAGTTTCTCTTTTTCCTTGCCTCCCACTCCCCTGCACTGGGTGTGTCAGGCTGCATGAACCCTGAGAAATGAGGGCTGAGCTCAGGCCTCTTTGTATGGCAGCAGTGTTGGGGGAGGAGAGGTGAGGTCCATACCCATGCAGGGCCTCGGGGACCCCAAGTGGGCACTGGGAGGCGGCCCCACCTTTTCAGCTTTCTGGGCCCTTCCAGCAGCAGCAGCAGTCCTGAGAGGGACCCAGACTCAGCAGGAGCCCAGTGAGAGGGAAGAGGCACCTGGAGCAACTATGCAGCCCCCTCCCTGCATGGCTCCCCCCTCCTGCTGCACTCCTGCCTCCTTCTCTCTCTCTGTCTGCTCTTCCCCTCCTCCCTGCAGTCCTGTCTACTTCCTTCCATCTTGGCCTCCTTCACCTTCATCCTTGTCAGCACATCTGTCTGTCTTTGGGCCTGTTTGTCTGTCTGTCTGACTGCAGATATTCTGTGGTCTGAGATGTCCCAGGACTGGGTCTGCCCTCAGCTCTCCCTTCTGACTGTCCCTCTCCCTGCATTGCTCCCTCAGAGTCTGAGGGTCTCTCTTCCCATCACATCTGTCTGAGTCTCACCCTGTGAGCTGTCAGTGTCTCCCCCGCATCTCCTTCTGTCTGTGTCCTGTGCTGCCTCCCCCACCACTGGTCCCTCTCTGCTCTGCCTCCCAGCTCTCTTCCCTGCTTCTTTTATCTCTTTTTCTCTCAACCCCTTTCCCTGTCTCTGCCTCACACCCCTGCCTCTCCTCCTTTTCCCTCCTTCTCTCCTCAAGATGCAGACACTTCCCATGACATCACCTGTGTGAATTCCACCTGCCAGTTTCCCCCATTCTGTCCTCCTCCCCCAGGGGAGACTTCTGGCCCCAAATCTGTATCTTCTGCATTTCGCCAGTCCTGGGCCAGTTGTCTTCCTTACCTATTGATTGTCTGGAGGACCTGGCATTTCCTCCAGCCTCACACCCTCTATACAGCAGACAGTGAGTAGCACAGGGAGAAAGGGGAAGAGATTGCTCTGGGGACCAGTTGTATGGATAGACAGACCCTCCCCTGTACCTGCCCTTCTTGCCCTCAAGCAGGTGCACCTCTGGGGAAATCCCAGCTGAGGCAGGGGAGACAGCCCAGGACTGTTGGAACAGGCACAGATCAAACACACAGATGCCCCTCCCCTTCTGTTCTGTCATGAAAGCCTTCCTTCCAGTCCTGCCTGCCCACTTTGCCTCTAGGAATTCTGGCTCTGTAGTCTTGGCTGGGCCACTCTTCCCCTACCCCGCACAGCACCTGGAACACAGGAGGTGCTCAGTTAGTGCCCTTGCTCCAGGCCTCCTGCAGATGTGTTAGGGCAGGGTCAGTGTGATTTGTGGTTTCTCCTCAGCTGGAGGTTCTTCCTGTGATCAGGAGTAATTCTTTCTGCTCCAAGTTCAATCTTCTGTCTTCCTATAGTTAGTATAGACTCTGACCCTTTAGGGACCTGCCATTACCATCTCTATTCCTTTCATCTCCACCCCAGGCTTTAAGGCACACAATTGAGGGTTTAGAAGCATGTCAGCAGTATCAAGTAGAGACAGTGGTGGTGCCGCTTCACCTTGAGACCCACGGATTCTTGGGCCCATCACCTGTGCATTCAGCCCTGTCACTAAGTAGGCCCCACTTTCTACATTTCTGAGAAGTCTTGCCTCTGCTTGAAGATTAACATTGCAGAAAGGAGCAGGCACCTTCCTTTGGTCACTATTTCAGGGTCTTGGGATCCCCTCATTATGACTGTCCAGAGCAGGAAGCTCTGCAGGCAGGGACCACATGTTTACTTCCTCCAGCACAAGGCTCCATGCTCATTCAGTCTGAGTATGCTGTGAACACTGAGTGACTGTCTCAGGAAGTTCCTTGTGGTGATGCTTAAGCCAGATCCCTTTTGGTTTTATTCCTGGAGTGATAGGAAACATGGGTGAGGGGTCAGGGGAGGGGGTGGGGATGGATAGTGGTGGCTGAGGAACCTCGTTGGGAGGGCACTTCTGTCCTTGTTTATGTTCTTGTTTAAAGGATTGCTGAGGGACCCCGGGGTGGCTCAGTGAGCTAAGTGTCTGCCTTCAGCCCAGGTCATGGTCCAGGGCCCTGGGATCAAGTCTTGCATCGGCATCCTTGCTCAGTGGGGATCCTGTTTCTCCCTCTCCCTGCTGCTCCCTCTGCTTATGCATCCTCTCTCTCTCGCTCTAGTTCTCCTTCCCTCCCTGACAAATAAATCGATATTCAGCTTAAAAATAACTTTAAGAAAATCTTAAAAAAATAAATTTAATAAATTAAAATCAAATTGATTAAAAAAGAAATCTTTTTTTAAAAAATAAAATCTTTAAAAAAAATAATAAAGGACTGTTGAGTGGGCTCTTTAACTGGATCTGAGATCAGCCACCAAATCAGCACAAGCTCAGCTCCACCAGGCTCCCCATACCCTCTTCCTGTCAGCCAGAACCACCTCTATAGCCAGGACCCTGAAAAGCT